CGAGTTTTCTTTACCACTATGGTAAATCAAGCGAGACAATCATGATTTCGTCACTCAAATCCATTGTGCAATATGGCATTATAAAGACTTCAAATTCGCATGCAAATCCGCTTTTCAAAGTCACAATTTGTGGTTCTGTGCGAATTTTGTATTTGTCACATTTGTCTTTTGTTGTGATTTGAATTTTCATGTTACTTTTAGACGAGTTGCCAACACACAACAATTCACGACCTTCACTTCCAATTTGTATTTTGTCACTTTCATCACCAAATGAAATTTCATTTTTGTTTGATAGAATGTCGCTTTCAAGTTTAGTCATCGTGATATTGGAACGACTCATCTTGAAAACACAAATATTTTCGGTGTGTTTGTTGTCTTTCTTTTTAAACACAATCAGAACAACAATGATCACCGTTGCAATAACTACAACAACCATCACAACAACACAAACAACCTCAATACCAACAACCAACCCACAATTCGTGTTTGCAAAACACTCTATTTTGTCGTCACTCAACTTAAAGCCATCTGCACACTCCCAACACAAGGAGTTCTGTGATGAAATGCAGTTTAGTATTTGTGAAAAGTGAACACACACTCCGTTTCTTAAAATGTTGTTATCATCACATTTTGAACACTCAAAAGTGGCATCACAATATGTGCAATTTTCACCACATTTGTAACACAAATTGTCTTTCGGTGCAAATCCATTTACACATAGTGTGCAACCACTTGTTGTTTTGTTCAAACAGTTGTTCAATTCTTTTTGTGGGTTGCACAGCTTAGTGTTGTTGTTTGGTGTTCTGTAATACCCATCACTACATCGCAAACACCCTTTTGAACTTCTTAATATGCAGTTGTCTGTTGTTGTTTTACTCATTGTTTGAATATTAAGTAAATTTACAGTGTTGTTATCATCATCACTGGAAACACATGAAATGTCTACAAGAACATTGGATTTATTGCACTCCAAACACAACAACATTACAACACTTACGTACTCACAGTCTTTGTATTTGTCTTGTTTTGGCAAACACCCAGTTGTATCTTTGTAATGATCTTCTTCACATTGTTTACATACATTATCAACAAATTCTTTACAATTAATTGAATCAGTTGAAACACACTTCCCATTAATAGTTATTTTGTTTTTACACAAAATGCAAATCTCTTTGTTTTGAATAACACACTTTTTGTCATTAAAAACACATCCACAGTTTTCAATGTGATGGTTTTGTTGGCATGCAGTACACACACACTTCCGTTGTAATCGGCACATTTCAAGTCCCGTGAACACAACACGTTCGTTGTCATCACAAATTCACTTTTACATGGTATATCTACTTTTTTATTATTCACATTTTGACAGATCTTAGAATTTTCACAATTTGTAGTTTTTACATTGTTGTCTAATGTCGTGTAATATCCACCATCCGCCAAATAACAAAACTCGTTTTGTGTATATCTGCAGTTGTTTATTTTGATACCTTCTTGTGTGTTGTTTTTGTGTATCAAACAAGTTGTTTTGTCGTTTTGAGTATATTGGTATTTGCATGTGCTTGTAATTGAATAATCACTATTTGTTGTAATAACATTATTATAACAATTATCACGTGTTTTTAAAGAATAATTAAAGCATTTTTCATTTTGTTTTTCAATTCATTTTCATCAATTAAAATGTATTCTTCTTCACATATAAAACACGAAAAATTTACTTGAATGAGACAGTTATTGATATTATTTACACTTATGGATTTATCATAATTATAATGTGTAGTGTTTGAATACGCCAGTAAACACTCTGATTTGTCATCATTCAAAACATACGGTGCATAACATTTAATACACGTTTGTTTTCCATTATTGTATTTACAGAGTTGGCAATTTGGAATCATTTCAAAACAACTCATACAAATATTCGAAGTAACTTTCACTTTGCCTTCTTCGCATGAGATACAATTTTCACCAACTGTAATATATTCACCAGAACACATCAAACAAATAATATTTTTTGGTGAGCATTGCACATAATTTGTTATTTGTGAACAATTGTAACAGTTGTTATTTTTCAAATAATAAGTACTTGAACACTCAACACAATTTTTTTCAGACTCGTTAATATTCAAATCACACAATGCACAATTATCATTTAACGAACACGAAACACATTCTTTGTTTCCAGTGTTTTGATTTGTGACTTGTTTGTTCCCAGACTGACATGTTGTGCATTCACCACTTTCTTTTAAACAATTTGTACACTCAACTGGACATGTTAAACATGGTAAAGCTCCACCATTTGAATAATAGCCATCAGGACACAATTCACAGTTTTCATCATAACCAAGATTATATCCAGAATAACACATCAGGCATTTGCCATTGATATTATCACACGTTTCACAGTTGATATAACATGAATTGCAAAATGTTTGTCCTTCATTTGATTGATACGTTTTATCTTCACACTGTTGGCATTTGTTGTTTGTTGAATTTGCGTAAGTTCCGGCTGGACAGATGTGGCAATTAAACAACACATCTAAACCATTGCCAGAAATACAAGTAATGCAGTTTCCATTTGTGTTGTTACACGTTAAACACGTTGAATTGCATTGTGAACATAAGGAAGAAGCTTCTGTTGAATAAAAAACATTTCCGCATAACAAACAAGTCGTTGATTGACTCATTGAACGTTTTCCAGCTGGACAGACATCACATTTGTTTGTTTCTTGATTTGCTCTTGTACCAGCTTCGCATGGAATGCAGTAATTTCCTGATAATACACAACCAGACACACACGAGGAGCAGTATCCACTTTCTTTTTCACATGAATTGCAATAACTGTTGCATTTTAAACACAAAATTGAAGATGTATTATTTGTGTAATAACCATCTTTACATTAAATGCATTTATCACTTCCTGGTAAACTTGAATGTGTTCCTTTTTGGCAGGGAATACATTGAATGCCATTTCCATACGTCCCAGAAGTACAATGAATACACTTATAATAGTCGATAAATTGCCCTTTCTTACATAAAGTGCAATGCCCATTAGTTTTGTCACATGCAACACATGAACTACAACTTGTACATATTGAACTGTTTGCAAGAGAATACGTTTGTTCTGGGCAATCTAAACAACCATTTGGACTGTAAAATTGACCTGCTGGACAACTCAAACAAACACTATTTGAAACAAACGATTTTTCGTAGCATGTCAAACAGTTTCCATTTGTGTCATCACATGTTTTACATGCTGAATTGCACGGGGTACAAAAACCACTCTCATTTGTAGAAAATTGATTAGTTGGACATTTTGAACACGAAGCAGTACAACCAGGTGAGAAATATCCAGCTTCACATTGTTTACAAATACCATCAGAAACAAAACCACAACCAACTGAACAAGAGAGACACTTTCCTGTCGTTGGACTACACGAAACACATGTGGTACTCGTGCAAATTTTACAAAAAGTAGCACCATTAGAAGAGAAAGAACCGAATGGACAAGTATCACATTTAGTTGATCCCAATTTATTAGAGTAATAACCAGCCGGACACAATTCACAATAAACATGACCACGTATATCCGAATAATTACCAGGATTACACGGATTTTTAATTCCATCTGAAGGACAGTAATATCCTATCGGACAAAATAAACAAGAACCATCATCAATATAAAAACCTGCTAAACAACTTGATGCTTCTTCAGATAAAGCACAAAAAACAAAACATAACACAATAACTTGAATGTAAATGGATTTCATAATAAAAACCGTTTAATGGCTATAACTCAGAACTCTTAAAATGTTAAAATTTAAGAAATTCAAACAAATTAATAACTTATTAATACTTTTAAACATTATAAATGTTTTGGTTTGTTAGTGAATAGTTAAGTATTTAAATAATAAAATCGCGTACAAATAAATTTGCCTTGTTTAAGGGTTTCTTGAGGATAAGGTGTATCCTCAGGATCAAAGCTATCCTTATTAAAAAATATTTTTCTGAGGATACAAAAATAAAATCCATAAGGGTCAGTTCCCCATAAAGCCCACTCTCATAACTCAAGTTATAATTTACACTTAATATTTCGAGTCAAAGTTCAAATTTTAAACAATGGTAATAATTTGTCATAAATGCCAAAAAAATAAATACAATCAAAAAATCGCCACAATAATCAGTAAACAAAAACAATAATTATATCTCGCCAACTTGAGACGGGAAATAACAAAACGTGTATTCAAATTGTTAATATTATGATTATATACTTATTGAAATTATTTACGAATCCGTCTTTATAACATAATAATTAAAATTTACATTTAAATTGATAATTGTTTTTTTATCAAAATGAAAATTGAAAAAGTCGAAAACACTGATTTTCTAAAAATGTGATTTAAAAATAACAAATTTATTAATAATTTTGTAATTTATGCAATTATTCAAATTTATTATAATAACAAAGTTAATCATATTGTGTATATTTTAATATGATTGTTTCATTTTGATATTAACTTGTGTTTTAAACAGATTTACAGTTCTGAGGATGGCAATTATTTTCTGAGGATGACAGAAATAGAAAGTTTACACTTTTAAGTCTGTATGAAATGTATATTGAGTAAGTTACTATTTTTGAATATGGAAACACGTCATTTCACTTTTTAGATGTTTAAGTCCGTGTTGATAAAGTCTGTTTGTTACACGACTTACCATCCTCAGAGATATTTATAGCACTGCCACTATTGATTTAAAATTCTATAAATAAAATTATCAATGAATTTTTATAAAGTGAGTTTTGTTAATTGATTATATCAAAAATCGTCAAAACACAACAAAAACGCCAATTAATATATAAAATTGATTAATAAATTGAACACATTTTCATTGAGAATTGATATTGTATAAAAAATAATATAAACATAAACATATATTTCTTGTGTATATATGTTTTGAAATATAAATAAACCCGTTTAAAACAAAAATGATTTTATTTTAAAAATTTGTTTATTTATCAATCGTTGTTTTATCGATATCCAAAACCTCTCGTTTTGAATTTGTGCAAATACATAAATTGTCATCGCATAAAGTATTAATTATCAGTACGTTATTTGCTATCAATTTTTATTGTTTGAAATATCATGAATTGATTTATAATAAATTGTATTTTTTGTAAAAAAGATTAAAAATTGTTCGATTAATTTGTTTTGTGATTTTGATAAATAAATCGACTTTTTCGATAATTTCAATGTCTGTCAAATGTTTTCATATTAACCAAGGTTAATCTTGTGGTAAATCAGAAAATAGAAATAGATTATTTTTTTGTAAAAATCAACTAAAAGAATCATCTTTCAAAAAATCCATAAATAGCATTTTAAAGAAAATCATGTGTTTCAAAATATACCTTTTTGATCTTAGGCAAAAAAATCCAAATTGAAAGAAATTATGTTTAAGATATTTACCATCCTCAGAAAAATTAACAATCCTCATGAATCCCTTAAAAATAATTATTATTTATTACATTTTTATGTTCTATTATTATAAGTCTTTTTACAAACAATTGATTTTTTGATTTAACCATTATATATCAATATTAATCAATAATACAAATATCTTGTTTTAAATTGTTAATTATTTTTACTCAAAAAATGGAAATAACAAAGAATCAAGTAATTTTAAATAAAAACATATTTTTTAACTTCTTTTGTCGAATTATATTTTTATAAAATATAAACTCTGACCATAAATTTTGCAAAGTATTTCTTATACTGTTTTTTAATCAATCGTGTTTTTAATGGTCCATTAATTTTTTATCAATTTCTCTTCAAATATTCTTAAGTTTATAATATTTATGTTCAATCACTCTATTACATTACACCAAAGGTAAAATAAGTAGTTTTTGTGTTTTGTCGACTACGGCATTTAAGTTATTGATCATCTTGTGAATTTCTATAATTATTTTAAAACTAGAACAAGAGTCACTAAAATGGTCTGGTATATGTGAAAATTATTTGTCAACACAATTTAAGTTAAATTCAAGTTAGTTTAATAACATTGTGTATTAACTTCACTACTATCGGGTATTACTACTTCAACTAGTTTTGTTTTAAATAAGCACCATTTCCAATTCATTAAAAGATTTTAAAAAAGTTGATTTTCTCAAGTTTGGCACAATTTTCAAAAATGAATTTGGCATCACAGTCTTGATTCACTATCACTTTGACTTTTTTCATGTTTTACACAACCGAAATGCGTTATTTTAAATTATTTTGACAGAAGACG